AGGAAAAATGATTACCAGAATGTATAAGTATTTGTTAAGGTATAAGCTGGAAGCAGAAACTGTGAAATGATAACCTGGGCCAAAAATTTTGGATATAGTATTAATTTGGAAGATTGGGAAAACCAATGGGAAACAAATTATAAATCAGCAACGTATAAGGAGAATTTATATAAAATGTTTTATCGCTGGCACTTACCTCCAGCGAGGCTCGCAAAAATGTTCCCCAATAATTCAGCAAGTTGTTGGAAATGTGGCCATGAGCAGGGAACCTACTACCATATGTGGTGGACTTGCCCAAAAGGAAAAAAATATTGGCTGAAAATCAGAAATTGGCTAGAAAAAATTACAAAAGTAAAAATCGAAATGAAACTAGAATTATTTCTATTAGAGATTTTAAAACAAAAAAAAATAGTTTAAAAAACCCTCTTTTATATTATATTCCATATACTAACAGCAGCAAGAATTGCCTTTGCCCAAAATTGGAAATGTGAAAATATGGTCATAAAGAAAACTTTGGTATCCCTGTTATAGAATGAAAGTACCAATAAACTCTTGGAAGACTGCAAGCAACAACTTAACAGAAATAATAATAGTCATTCAGCACTACTTTTTGTGTAGACAAAAGTATATACAAGTGTTAGTCTCAAAGGCGCTTTTCAAAAAGCAAGTGGAGCCTTTATGAGAAGCAAAACATCTTCAAGGAAAAAACAAAGCCTGTTGAAAAGCACTTTTGGACAATCATGACCTGGATGACTAAGACTGTCCATTGACATAGAATTCTTAGATATCACTGTCCCATTTGATAGGTGTCCTGATGCCAGAATTGTTTCCCCTCTTAAACTTTACAGGCAGTGGTCTCACCCTGAAATAAATTGTTCATTATATGTTTCATGGAACATCTGTTTTACAGGTGGGAAAGTCAGAGTAGGCCATTCAGACATCCCAATAGAACATTACTAGTGATATCATCATGAGATATTTCAATCCCATATATATTGTACACTTTATTCTTGAGCTTCTCAATGAATTAGGAGTATATTAATGCAAAACAATCTTTGATTAGAGATATAACCCCTTACAGATTTCTTGCATCAAATCAAAAAAATGCACTTCTTAAACAGATTTAAATCAATCCAGCAACAATCAAAAAAGTCAGGAGAAGACTTCAACATTCCCAGTCTCAATTATTTCAACAATGAAATTAGGATCAGAAATGATTAAGACAACCTTATTTAAACATTATTTGTAAAAATGTTATACTGTATATTAAGGGTTCTAAAATGTCAGTAACTATATAATCTGAATGCTGTTTCAGTCTTCCAGTTTAGTTGTCTCGCCCAACTTCGTGTAATTTGCATATTTGATAATCATTCTTTCTATCTTACTAGTTGTTACTGTGAAAAATTTATATGATATGAAAAGATGCCAGACTGTAACTAAAAATAAAATATTAATAAAAATGTTGGCCAAATGACTTTAGATCCAATCATGAAAAAACTGAATTGAGGAAGAGCTGACCTCTATCTTTTACTTATGTGTTAGAGAACATAACCATCTATAATGTGGATCTCATAAAATTGTAATTTTTTAAAAAAGAAAACATATTTAGTTAGCATCTATCTCTGCGTCAGTTCATGCTAAGTTTTAGCTTTCCTGATATTCTCTAGATTTATGATGCCAAATATCTTCTGCTACCCTTTTTAATGAAGCAACAACATTTAGTCTTGGATTGTTGACCATCTCCCTGTTAAGTTCAATCAAGCAATATAATCTCTGGTGACAAAGAACTAAGTGTCCATTTCAGTAGTTTTAGCTAGATGCCCTTTTTTTATAAAACAGCAAAGATGGGAATTATCCACATAACCCACAAATAGTGCCTTTGATGGGATAAAATCGAAAGGCAATTTCAACACACAAATTGCATGCATATAAGAGGCAGCACTCCTGGAACCATTTTTCTTCCTGTGTCTGCTTCAGGTTTTAACAACTTCTAAGAATACGGAAATGGCAAGCTTCAGCTCTTAATAGCCTGCAGATTGTTAGTTATTATTGTGGTGCATACACTGCCTCTCTTATGGATCCTTTCAATATAATACATTTATTGCATGGACCTATTTTTTCACATGATGAAAAATTAGTCAATGAAAAGTAATATATCGCCTTGGATACTTTCAGGCCTTTTAGACACTTTTTAAAAAATCTTTTTTCTCCTTTTATTTGGGGTAAATCCTGCATTTACATGCTCTACCTCATTAGACATAATGTCCACATAATACATATTTCTTTACATGTGGAATTCTATTTTTCAATACAGAACATGAAACTAATTCTGATGTTAAAAAAGTTAAATATATGAATAATCTGATTGAGCTTGTGCCATAATACAATGCTGCACTTTTCCTAGTAAAGCTAAGGAATCTGAGTAATTTATTTAACTGAGTAGGTCATCACTCTACTAGTTAAGTAACAGATGAAAAACTTACTCTAACTCTAATAAAGACAGTGGTCTTCTTACTTTTCTACCACTGGTAACTTCTAAAGCTTCTTCATGGATTACTGCCTTGTTGTGGTGAAGAGGCTTGCATACATAGCTCAATGAAACTATGAGCTATGCTGTGCAGGGCTACCCAAGATGGACAGGCCATAGCAAAGAGCTCGGACAAAATGTGATCCACTGGAGAAGGAAATGGCAGTATCTTTGCCATGAAAACCCCATGGACAGTACCAAATGGCAAAAAGATATGACGATGAGCCTCTCAAGTCAGAAGGTGTCCAATATGCTACTGGGGAAGAGCAGAGGGCAAATATTAGTAGCATCAGAAAGAATGAAGCAACTGGGCCAAAGCCAAAAGGTTGCTCAGCTGTGGATGTATCTGGTGGTGAAAGGAAAGTCCGATGCTGTAAAGATCTATACTCTATAGGAACCTGGAATGTAAGATCCATGAATAGTGCAAAGAAATAGAAGAAAACAATATTGTTTTCTTCTATTTCTTTGCACTATTCGTGGATCTTGATTCATCTAGATCCGCCTTTCTCATGATGTGCTCTGCATATAAGTTAAATAGGCAGGCGACAATATACAGCTTTGCCAAACTCCTTTCCCAATTTTGAACCAATCAGTGGTTCCGTGTCCAGTTCTCACGGTTGCTTCTTGACTTGCATATAGGTTTCTCAAGAGACAAATAAAATGGTATGGTACTCCCATCTCTTTCAGGACTTGCCACAATTTGTTGTGAATAGGAACTAAAGAGCCTCTTGATGCAGGGGAAGGAGAGTGCAAAAGTTGGCTTGAAACTCAACATTAAGAAAACTAATATCATGGCATCCGGCCCCCTCAATTCCTGACAAGTAGATGGGGAAGAAATGGAGGTAATGACAGATTTTATTTTCCTGGGGTTCAAGATCACTGCAGATGGGGACTGCAGCCAAGAAATTAAAAGACACTTGCTCCTGGGGAGGAAAACTATGTCAAATCCAGACAGCATACTAAAAAGCAGAGACATCACCCTGCCAACAAAAATGTGAATAGCTAAGGCTATGGTTTTCCCAGTTGCAATGTAATGGCTGTGAAAGTTGGACCATAAGAAAGGCTGAGCACCAAAGAACTGAGGCCTTTGAACTATGGTGCTGAAGAAGACTTCTGCAAGTCCCTTGGACTGCAAGGCAACCAAACCGGTCAGTCCTAAAGGAGATCAACTCTGACTGCTTTTTAGAAGGCCAGATCCTGAAGATGAAACTCAAATACTTTGGCTACCTAGTGAGAAGGAAGGACTCACTGGAGAAGAGCTAATGCGAAGGAAGGACTCACTGGAGAAGAGCCGAATGCTGGGAAAGATTGAGGGCAAAAGAAGGGGACGACAGAGAATGAGGTGGCTGGATGGAGTCACTGAAGCAGTAGGTGTGAGCTTAAATGGACTCCGGAGGATGGTAGAGGACAGCAGGCCTGGAGGAACTTTGTCCATGGGGTCTCGATGGGTCAAACATGACTTCACAACTAACAATAACAATAACTTATAAAGATGAAAAAAAAGAAATCAGATAATAAAGACAAAATTGAACAAATACAACAGGTCTATAACTTAGTGATACGATAAATCTCTAATTCTAGTTGGGACATTTCAAAACAAAGGTACTGACTTATAAATCATACTGTAGTGGGAGGGCAATTAAGTAAATTTTGTTCTATTTTTTAAAACAAAACAGAAACTAAAATCCCTGTATATACATCTGGGTAAAGAACCAGAATGACAGCCGATTTGTTATAACAGTTAAAAGCATAGAAACTGGATGACTTTGGGTCAATTATTCGCTCAATCTTAGAAAGAGACCAATGGCAAACCAGTTCCCCAAAAGAAAATTGCAGACTTGCCTCTGTAATCATTGGCAGTCAAGGTTCATTTGAATGACCACCGCCACCACACAGAAATGGATTTTTTTGTTACCAATTTAGGATCAATAATGTGTTCAAAGTAATACAATCCAAACAAAGATTTGTTTCTAAAATCCAAAGTATTAGTAGGGCAGGCAGGGGAATGAAAAAAATTTTTATGAAGAAAGTATCAGCATATTAGGAAAAAATGCTTTATAGATCAAACCTGTTACTTTTTAATACTACTGATACTGCAAAAAGTGTTTCATAAACAAGAACCATCATTTGAAATAATATTAATAAGCTATATAATGAGAGAAAGTAGACAGATAAACCACCTTGCTTTATTTCTCAGTGCTGTAACTGAAGCTGCCTTACTCTACTGACAACTCGCTCAGAACTAATTCAGCACCATTTTGTCAGAGTAGGAAAAAATGTGATTTCCAGCAGCAGGTTTATCATATTTATAAAAACTCATTAGTGTATTTTATACATATTTTACTCAAATAAGTTAGGAATGTTTGAAGAGCAGTCTAACAATAGCTTAATTAAAAATAGAAGTCTTTCAAGAAAAACTAATTAAATTGTACTTAAAACTTTAGGATATAACAGTAATAAAATTTGAACTAACGTTTTAGCAGTGATGTCCACGTACTGCCCAGGGCGGAAATGAGCTGCATATAGAGGTGTACCTTAAAGTAAATGAAGAGAGATTAAACAATTTAACTAAAAAAAAAATCACATAGGAAACCATTAATGTCTGCCTACAACTATGAAGATTAAGTAAGGAATAATCAATCTACTTGGTACTTAATATCAACTGCAGTAAAACACATCTATTACAGTTTCTACATTTTGAGAAAAGTATAAAATATCCTGCTGTAATGACATGACTCTATTCTAATTATTATTATTTCTACAAAGGGATTCCCTCTCTAAAAGTAAATGAAACTATGACAAAGAATTGCTTCTTGTGTATTTATCTGCAATCTGATTATTCCAATTACAATTTATAACCATTTTCCTCTGGCACTAAAATATAAATATTCTGTTATTTTGAAATAATAGAAAATATTTGTAGCTCAGATTTTAGATTTTAGCAATGGTTTGCTCTCCCATCTTGTTTCAATTTAGTTTTTGAATGTTTCATTACCAGATTAGATAACATCAGCAGCATCTTGTTCTATTCTCCTTAGCTTATAAATGTCTTGTGTGCCAGTGTGGTTAGTTGGTCATGCTATTGGTTGTTCATTTGGAGCTATATTTAAATTCTGAACAGCTGATTGATTTTCTTGTTGGAATGGTCTCATTGGAATGGTCTGGTTTCCTATGTATTCATATGATGGATCGAGATCAATATGTTTGTTAATTGCTCCTTTGGTAGAATACCAGGCTTCAATAAATGGGATCAGTTTTACACGTGAGGAAGAAATCTTACGAAATCTTCCTAGATATTGATATAACGAGACAAGAAAGTGGCAAATTAACAACCACACACACAGACAAAATTCTAAATTTCACTACTCCACTGCACGTAAAAAGAGCTGCATCCAGACCCTTTTCAAAAAAGCCAAAACACACTGCAGCACCAAGTTATTAAGAAAAACAGAAGAGAAACACTGTTTCAATGTTTTCCTCCACAATGGCTATCCAAAAAATTTCATTGTATGATTCTTGTCATCTAAACCTCAACAAAATACAAGGCCAAACACAATACAAAAACAAGTCCTGCCATACATCAAAAGAACATCCAAAATGGCTGCCAGAATTTTTTCCTATGGCAACCCCTAGGAATAACGATAGCTCACAAACCCATATTTACACTCAGAAAAGAGCTATCTAAAGTCAAAATGCAGAAGGAAGACAACAGCAACATAGTATATAAAATCAATTGCAACAATTGTAACCAATTCTATGTGGGACAAACAGGAAGGCAATTGAAAACAAGGTTTCATGAACATCAACTAGCAGTTAAATGGCATGACCCAAAATCCCAGATAATAAACAACAAAAAGGAACAAAAATCATTGGCCATACTAGCACCTGCCACACATATAAATTTATTGAAGCCTGTTATTGTACCAAAGGAGTAATTCACAAGCATATTGACGATCTAGCATATGAATACGTAAGAAACCAGACCATTCCAATGACCAATACACAAAAGAACCAATCATCTGTTCAACATTTAAATATAGCTCCAAATGAACAACCAATTGAGTGACCAACTGACCACAATGGTGTCACCATTCTGAGTTTGGCCAGCAAAGGAAGACACCATACTGAGGGCTTCAACAGAAATCTTTAGGCTTCTGGTGGCGTTTCTGTCAGCGACAGATTGGAAACCGCAATCGTTCACGGCTTTGATCCGTGTTTACCTTGTCAGAGGGTCCCAAATGGGACCAGATCCACCTCGGAGGGATAGGGAAAGAAGGGGAGACCTCCAGTTGGGTCAAGGGGAGCTGCATCTTCCCTCCCTGGCTAGGTATACTTCCCATGAAGACAGGACTAAGTGGCAGTCTTTAATGGCTGCCCTGAAGATGGGAAGCTATTCGGGAAATAAGATCGTGCTGGAGCGGAGAAGAAGCAGACAGCATGGAGACCAGGCAAACTAGCTGACATATGGACACTAATCCACTAATATGGACACATTTGGAATTAAGCTAAAAAGAAATTTTAAGAAAGATAGTAAAAGTGGCGACCAGAGAAAGGGGGGAGGCGGAATTGACAGCTGAAAGTGGCTTTGAACTTTGAAAGGAGCCAAATTCAAGAGGAAGCCAGAAGAAGATACTTGTTTAAATTGGACAAATATATGATTTTAGCACTAAATAGGCATAATTAAAAGCTGAACTTGAATGTGTCAAAAAGAAAAAGAACAGAAATTGATTATTGGATTTATTGGATTTTTGGAATTTAAAAGCCTTAAACAGAAAATAAAGTGGGGAAAAAAGGATGGAATTTGGACATGACAGTGCCATCTAATGGTAAAGGAAAAATTTCAATGACTCTTTAAGAAATGCCTGGTTCTTTCAAAAGTGGATTTTGATACAAAATAAGAGAAATTTTGTTACAACAAAACATAAACCCTGGAAAGTGAAAAGTGAAAACACAGAATATCAAAATAAAACAAAGAAGTGTGAAGAAATTACTCTGGGACTGTTTGGTGATTTTGGCATAAACTTAAATTTATGGATATTGGACTGTTTGATGAACTTGGAAAAACTTAATGAGGAATTAATAGAAGTTCATTGCCGGAAGTAAACGCTGGTCAAATTAAATTAATGGACAATTGGTTTGGATTTAAAGACTAAAGAAAGGGATAAAGAAAATCTAAAAGAAGTTTAAAAATGGCAGAACTTTTTTGGGGAACTAAAAATGGAATTAAGAAACATAAAAGAAATGTTACATGAAAGAGGTGAATCATGCTGCCTAGCTTTGCAATCATTAGAAATGGCTATTCTGGAGTATGAAGAACAATAAGGAGTGCCAGAAGGGGAGGAGCTAATTAAAGAAGAAGCCAGCTTCAACGAACAACTGGAGCAAAGAACATTAAAGCAAAGGAGAAAAAGAATGGGAATTAAAACTTGAATATTTGAGGAGACGATTAAGAAGGGAAGTATTTGGAAAGCCAAACAAAGCAAATGGAAATAGCAGAAAAGGGGATTATAGAGGAAAATTTTAAAGAGGGGGGGGGGATAAAAACTGGAGTAAGAAAGGGAGGGGAAAAAATGGAAGAAAAAAGCAATAAAAGAAAGGACTAGGAAATAAGGAGATATGCAAATTGTTTAACAAAAGAAATTGTTTAGTCAAAAGACAGATAATGGGTAGATAAGGATTAAGAAAGGGGATTCTGCAAGGTAATGTGGTGTAATATAATGGCATTTGAAGTAATAAATTATCTAGGAGATAGAAAAATATATATTTTCAAAATGAAAAGATTGGAACTGATGTTTCTTTGTTACTAGACTACTTGTTATTGTTAAATTACATACAGAGATAAATGGAATAAATGTGAAAAAGAGAAACTATTATGAGTATGCTAAATATGTTTAATAAATTTAAGAATATAGTTAAAATGAATTATGAAGACTTATAAAAAAGACTAACATCAGTTTTTTATGATTAATTGAATAGATTAATTTATTTGAAATTATAAATTATTTAATCAATTGAAGGGGAAAAATACCATGCGGAATCTGGCTTAAAATGTGTATGTGTTAAGTAGTTATGAGATTATTGTTATTAACTCTTAAGGTGATAATTAAAAAGTGATTATATTGTGATAAATTATTATGAGTTAAAGAGGAGTTAACTAAATGTTGTATAAGATAAAGGGGTAGTACACTCAAATTAGTAATTAAAGGGGAAAATTTTTGAATTATTAGAATTAAGATGGAACTTTTTGGAATAATGAAATAAGAGTATGTGATGAAATTGCAAATGTGACAGATTAAAATATAAAGTATAATGAATGTGAAGATATGAGAACTATTTAAAATTTAAAAAATTAAGAAAGGAATAGAAAATATATAAAATAAATTTGAAGAAATAAGAATATCTGAGAAAATTTATAAAATATGAAATGTAATGATATGGTATGAAACCAAATGTGAAAGATGAATATGTAACTAAGGTCATGTTTGTATGGAAATGTGAAAACCTGGAACCATGCTGTTCACTAAAAGAGATGTTTTTGAAATATAAAAAAAACTTTTTACAAAAAAAAAACAACAGAAATCTTTACTGGCCTTGGCTTGGCACCCATTGAATACAAAAAAAATGTTTCTAGCCAGCATTACTGGCTTCTGCCAGCCACCTAGCTATGGAGGCACGACAGGCCCCGCCCACACCTGCTGCTGGCCTGCTCCAACAAGCACTCTTTGCTGGCTCTCTGCAGGCTCCAGCAAGCCTGGATTCATGGCCTTTGATCAGTCTGCAGCTGTTTCTCTCTTGCTGCCTGCTCTGCCAGCCTGCTCCAGCAAATACTCCTCACCGGCTCTCTGTAGACTTCAGCAATCCTGGATTCATGGCATCTCATGTCTCTCTCTACCTAACCCTCCACCAGCATGAGTTCAGTACCCAATTCCCAACTGTTCGCCCCTCCCCCCTCCACAATTTGTGGCAACTCCGACTCTCAGACAACTGACCCACTGACATTTATAAGCTAAGGAGAATAGGATAAGAAAATCTTGCTGATTATGTTACCTAGTCTGGTAACAAAACATTCAGAAACTAAATTGAAATAAGCTTGGAGACCAAACCCTGTCAAATTCTGTCATTTTTTCCCAAGATTCTTGTTGTATGGGGTTGGCACTACCTACTGATAAATTAGGGCTCTCCCCACCCCCAAATATTGAGACCATTTTTTAAAGGTTTTTTTGCCTTCAACATGTGATTCCTGAAATATATCTCACTTCCAGCCAAAAAAGTGGTTCATCAACATATCTAAAGCTATATCTGTTATTTTAATTGCTATTTCTATTTCTAATACATCATTTATCATTCTATACTTTAAATAAATTAGGTGACAGTACACAACCTTCACATGCTTTCCCAATTCTGAATCAGTTGTTTCATATTCGATTCAACTTGTTGCCCTGTGACCATCCCACAAATATTTAATAGGAAAAAGAGATGGTTTTAAAAGCTATTCACAATTTGCTGAGATTTAATAAAACCTTTGCCTAAATGAAAAATGGTAATGTTTTTAAAGTCACTTCACTTTGACTCAAGGTTATTTCAAATAAATGTAAGATAACAAGCACCTAATATAATGACAATAATATTTTTTCTTTGGAGAATGAGAAGCTTTTAATTCTTTCCTTTTACTTACATGGTATGTATTATTTTTTGAGCAGTAGAATACTAGTTTAGCAAATAATTATTTGTCTGCTAAATAGATTTTAATTATTAAGAAGAATGCAATGAAAAACTATGTTCCTAATTCTGCACCTTGTTAACATTACCTGGCTTAATGATAGCATTAGGTGATACTCGAAATATTGAAGTTTTCTGTTTTGGTGGGAGCCCTAGTTCTCTGTTCATTTCCATGACAGAAGAACTTCTCTGGAAAAAACATAGAAGCACAGTAAGCATAGAAAAAAGTGGAATTTATATAATATGCAACCCCTTCAAACAATAAAACTAGAATTTAACTTTTTATTGCTTTCACAAATGTCAGAGAATGACACAAAACGACAGAGTGCATCATTGCTTGTAATTGGATAATAGTCTCTATTAAAAAGTGCCAATGTTCTAAATGAAAGTTAATACTCAATTAAAAAGCAAAGTACAATAATCTTAATTCCCTTATTAAAACTTTAAATGTAAAATGTTTGAGATACTATATTAGTTATTCTATCTGTTCTAGCAAAAGCTGTATGCCATGAGAACCCATCTACATCTACAATAGTGTTCATTAGTATGTCTTCTTTTTATGAAAATGAACAAATTATAAACTTATGACAGAATAGGATTTACATATAATAAATATTTAATAAGTAAGTATTTAATAAGTATTCCAGGGGTATGATATGAATTAAAAGCACACCGATACATGTAGGTCTCATGTTCTCGCTTCATATATTTGTGGGAGCAGAAATGAAAAGTATGCTCCCAAATAGTCATTTCAAAATAAAGCTGGCTTACCCAATATTAAAAACATTAGCATCGTCACCCTGAGATCATATAGCTCAAAAGATAACAAGCAAGTAAAAGCACAATCGTGTGTATTAAATAGACCACATACATGAAGCAAGCATATTAGTCCTTTCAGTTCTATTTTATTGGAATCAATATTATCTTTATAAAAAATTCAATTATAAATATGTAGACCAAGGGCAAACACTTATATCTTATTAGAGGCATATAAAATAAATAAAATGTCATTTTTGTGCAATAAGTAAAGGTGCCCTTTTTTACACACTATTCTACTTCTAGATAAATTCTTACCTGGAATCTGCATGGATGCATCTTTTTTACAAAGAGGCATATAGCATGTATTCTTTTTTTCTCTATATCACACTTTTAAATCACATAAGTATTAAGAGTCTTTCAGCAGCTTTCTTGAAAAAAACCACCTTAATAACATAGATAAATCTTAACTACAACATGAAAGGAGTGAGCATTATTTCAAAAAGGGCTGCACATTCCAGAGGGCAGGTGCTACAATAAAAAACCCAACTTCCTGGATCCCATAAAATATACAGAAACACATTAAAAATTGTATTGTCATATATCTCATCAAAGCCAGCTGCCTTGTTAGGGCTTCTAATTGTCATCTTTACTTCTTCAGTTGTAATTTCACCATTATTCATCTCTTGTTGGGAGCACTCCTCATTAAAATTGTATATAGCAGGTAGATTTTGCTGGTTAAGAGTTTCCAGGTAGTGTTCAACCCATCTTTTTATTCAGCTCATCTTCAGTAATCAGAAGCACATTAACTCTGCCATTGCCAATCTCAAGTGCAAATGAGAAAGAAGGAGAGTTAGGCATCAGGCTAACAACCCATCCCTGTAAAAATTTTAACCACTACAGAAACAGCTAAAAGAATGTCAATAAAATTTCAATCAGGTGAGAGTTCTGTGTGTAGAGACAGAAAGAGAGAGAAATAGGGAACACAATTTTTATTGTAGTGCCTGTCCTCTGGAACAAAATATTTCTATAATTTTTTTCAGACCCCACCTAATTTTCTTTTTTTTTAGATGAATCATTAAAACCTGACTCTTTTTACAGACCTTGTACTACACTGGATTATGGCCACCTTGTGGGTTATCTCATTTGTAAAATGATGGCAGTTTTCTCTGCATATTATCTTGGTATAAAGATTATTTTATTATAATTTTTTATACAATATGCTAACCAACATTGAAATGGAGTTGTATCTGTAAATGTTTGAAGATTTGACACTCCTACGAGATTAGGCAATTTTTTGAGAAAAATGTTCTAGCCTCTATGTTAAATAATGGTTTATTTCTCTGTGAAATCTGTGTATATGACATAGTAGTACACTATAGCTGCAACATACCTTGCATTAATATGCAGTTTATGCAATAATGAGATATATACACTTCAATTATAATCAAAAATTATCAAAATTGCTACCCAACAAAAATTTCACTAACTCCTAAAATCCAGGTGCTGTATAAGTGATAATATATTTTTTACAAAATAAAGTAGGAGATCTAAGTTCAGCATAATATTGTAATGGCAGTATTAGGTAACAGACTCTATAAAGTCAGGAATTTTAGTCTAAATTAACAAGAAGAAAATCAACCTTAATGACTTCTGCTTAAGTTAATAGCCAATATATAGAAGAACATAATTTATCAGCATTTCATTGTAGAATAATTCAAAAGCTCCCCTGAGCTTCCTTATTATAGTAACTAAATGGAAACTCAATGAATGAAAATTGAAAATGCAAGAAATCAACATAGAGGAACTTTGTGGTTAAATGGATTGTTGCAGAAAGCAATTTACATGATTGACAGCAGTAGCACACTTGGATAATCACCACCAACCAAAAGCTATCAAAGATTTTCCTGTAAAAATGCCTTATCTTTCAGATTAATTTTGAAGACAGATTGCATTGCCAGAAAACCTGTAGATTATTAATCCTCTATAATCCTGGGAAGAAAAGTCTCACAAGATCATTTTGGAGATCAAAGCTAACTTAAAATAATTTAAACAATTTCCTCTGAAGATTTTATAACACTAAAAATATCCATTCTTTATTAAACTTCACTGTAATCTAGATTTGCCTCTGGCCTAATATTTTGGCAAATCAAGTCACTGTGATGTATAAATTTGGGATAACATGGCTTAATCTATGGAAATGCATTCAAGAAATAATCAGCTTAAAGAATGATTTAAAAGCACAAATTGGCCAGCTAGCAACATAACTCTGTTATTTCAGAATCTCCCTTGATACTTTTCTCTGTCTCTGCTTCTAAAAAACCTTTAATTCTATGTGTCTGTTTGATAAAAAATGCACAGATAGGAGCATTTTAAGATCCCTGTCAGAAAACAAAATGCACTCTACTTCATGCCATGTGAGAATTGGTTCTATTTAATGCACTGTCAAGCCTGCCTCCATTCAAAATCCAAGAAAGAAACCCCCTGACTCCACTGAAGTATAGAAGAGGTACTTTTACTGAGTTTGAAATGATAGCAAGGAAAGCAAAGCAAGATCTGAGCCAAAAGGTGCAAAAGTTACATATTGAAAGTTTTCCCAAATCCCCCCCCCCAGGGACCCAGGTTGAATGTCCAATCCACGCCCCACATAATGTCATGTGAGGCACATCTTCAGGTGTTTTCATCCTTCTGGAGTTCTAGGATGGTTGGCCTTGACTGGGTATAAAGAACTCCACTCAGCAGTGCAGTAATTCTTGAGAGCAAACCTCCCTTTTAGTTCACATGGGTATTCCTCATACCAGTACACTTCCCAAACCCCAGTGCCATGCTGCCCCTCTTTACTAAGGCAGTCGATAGCAAGCAAGCATCAAAGGGAAAACCCATGCTGGAGATCCAGCTGACATGCACAATTAAAGTAACTTATATAAAAAAAATATCAATGTAAAAATAGTGGAAAATCAGACACTAGGTACATAATATACTAAATAAGCACAGAAATATTGCTTGCAGAATGGAAATCAGAAGTGTTTTTCTAACTCATTAGCACATATACTAATTATATTTTACTCTAATTTGAGGAAGGGGGGTTACTAATCTATGGTTCATTACATGATAGGTAGAATTACAGACATTTGTTTCATTGATGTAAACTGTGTTAACCAATTAAATAAAAATAACAGAAGAATATTGTTACGCAAAGAAACATCTTGGAGTTCACACCAACACAGTTTTATATATATGCTTTAGGCCCCATCATCAAATTTTGTGTTTCAACAAGTTCCTAAGTAAACATAAACTGCAGATATTTCTCAATTTATAATCTGTAGGTATAACAGCCCTATCTGGGGGATACTTATGACCCAGATTCAAAGTTCTGCAGTCACTTGACTAATCTTTGGGTGTTCTGCAGCTGCCATTTATAGCAGTTTGCAGCATCCTGATTGTAACCACAGGATTTTACAATAGTTTTCCTAACATTTACTTCCAGTTTTTGACAAAATTGGCTCATAGAAAAAACAGATTTGCTTAATAATCACAGCATTTACATAATCATAGCCACAAAAAGGGTCATAAAATTGGGTTGGTCATTTAGGATCATGATGTGCAATTTCTATTATGGTCATAACTCGAGAACTACCTATATATGGTACAAAATATTATACAGGTGGTAGGAAGAATGATTCCAATTAAGTATCAATATACCCTAAAAGTTAATATCTCTTAGTCAGAGAAAAAACACAGACGAATTGTGGTTAACTGTTTCACCAAAGCAGCAAGCTAAAAAAGCTCCAGATTAGTCATGAAGTACATGTATGTGGCCCATGCTTAATAATGGTGACTGGGGATTGTAAAATGCAATGTCATGTGATCCTGCTAACTTATAACAGTTGAGGCAATCCCAGTTGCCTTTTAGGCAAATTCTGTACTATTATACAGTAGTCACATGATCACCATTTGTGACTGACTGCCACCTTTCCCATTGCCATTTGTGTCTTTTACTGCTAGCTTCCAACAAGCAACCACATGACTGTTGGATATTGTGATCATTATAACTAAACTAGTTGTCAAACACAACTAGTTGTGTTGATCAAGTGACAAGGGCTACTATGGCTGCAACCACAAAGACCCAGGGGTGGGATTCTACAGGTTTGCACCTATTTGCTTGAACCGGTTGTTAACATTCTAAGAAGTTCAGAGAAGAAATTACTGGCCTAATCCTGTAAGGAAGGCAGGAAGGAAACATTCTGGTGTTGCTTACAGAAACTGCCTCTCCGTTAACCCTTATTACATTCTTGGCAGGACTAGACTTCCTGTCTCAGGAACTTCTCTGGAGTTTTTTTTTTCTCCTTTGCTGGTACTTTGCTTGTGTGGAGTGACCATTCAAAGTTACAATGGCACTGAAAAAAGTGACTTATGACCATTTTTCACACTTATGACTGTTGCAGCATCCCCACAGTCACGAGAGGCCAGGCGAGGAGATGTGTGCCTCGATGTGAGTGATGTTGAGTTGACCACGCCCAGCCAGTCACATGACCACCAAGCCATGGCCACCAACTAAGCCACGCCCACAGAACCAGTTGTTAAAAAATTTGAATCCCACCACTGCAAAGACCCATCGTCAGTCCTTTTTGTTTAGTGTTGTAGTAACTTTGAATGGTCTCTGGATGACTGGTTGTTCAATGAGGACTAACTGTAAAAGTAAAAAAAATTGGAATGGACTTCACATTCTCCAGATTTGAGTATTACCGAGACCTCAAGAATGCAGTACATACAAGTTTTCTGCGCTAGAAAAGTTCTATATAAAAGGATGGGGAATAACTGAAAAGAATGAATAAAAATATTCTTAGCTGTTTTAGGAAACAACTATAATTATTTCTGAGAAGTTAGAACACTAATTGCAAGTTGTCCAAACTTTTGTCTTGTTTTTGTCATGTTTTCTTATTTTGACTCTATAGAAAACTGCATATAAATAATAATTACACACTCAAAATTACAGAAAGATGTTCGATTTTGTACCGTATAGGAGTTGTGTCAGCTTCTTTTCACTTAGCAAATAACTGGAGCACACAGTTTGAGGACTATCTATAGCACACAATTATATGCACATGTTTTAAAAAGACTGTAAAATGAATGAATAAAACATTCTTGCATAGCCCAATATGGCACCATTTATGAATGATAATTTATACTATGTTTAATCATTAAACTAAATAAAACACTAAAGGTACTAGAACACAAAAACAAACATGTCTTAGCTTCATAAATGTTCCATGAAAAAATGTATTAAGGTATATAGGATTATCTTCAAGAAATTATGACAAAGCCATAAAGTTTTCTTAAAAAGACAAAAAAAAAGACAGTCTTTAAAATTTTAAGACATCTTTCTAAAAATGCATTCCTTTGGATAATACAATAAAAATTGCTATCCCATCCAGAAAGAAAAATAAACCAGACTTACATGGAATTCAGACACATTTTTCCCTCCAACAGTTAGACTGGGAGTTTTCCCATCAAATTCTTCTTTGGGTATATATTTTATAACATGGCAGTCTTGAACCTACAAGAAATTATTCAAGTTTATTTATTTATATGACTGCTATATTAAATGCATAACTTTCGACAGCAAACAATTCTAAAATCAACATAAAAATTCTTCATTAAATTAAAATCATCCAACAAAAAGAAAAACCTGTCAGGATACAGAACTTTTCCCATTCACTCAACTAGAATGAACTTCTGAAAACGTATCCAAACGTATCACAAAGGAATTCTTTATTGAGATGAGACAATTCCTGTAGGAGTTCAAAGCAGCGTCTGAGATCTCTCAGGCATACAGGGATACATAAGGGAGTTTAGAACCCCTCCCCTTATCTCGATGTGTATTTAGTGAAACAAAAGCCAGTATGTCAATTCCTCCCAACCCCTCTTGTAAGGAACGATCTTTTCACAGTTTCCCAGGGCATACCTAATTTCCTCCCCACCCACTTTTTAGAACGAACTATTCAGGAGATTCCCAAAGTACAATCTCGCCGTTGAATTTTTATGACCTTCTCATCTCCTGGTTGTGCCTCTCAGAGGTGATAGTTCTGGCCATCTGGCTTTTCTCCCTCCATCGTATCATGTGTGGGTTATACAAATTCGATATAAGATTAAATATATTCAGGTTACATCAAGAAAGGATTTCTTTATCAGCCTCCCCCCCCCCCTTTTTTTTTCTTCTTCCACTGAAGAAATGACAGATACACGGTTCTGACATCCTGCCCTCCTTAAAAAACAGATAGGTCTACCTAGAAAAAAACAAAAATCATGCATTACATTTGCAATTCAGGATGATTTATCAGGGTATTTTTGGTGGAACTTACGTAGTAATGTGGGTGCTTTTACGTGTTGTTTGGCTACCCACTCATTTTCTGAAGAAGGAAGGTGTTTCCAAGCTATTAAATATTGTGTGGATCCATGGTGAGTGCGTGAATCAAGGATGTCTTTAATTTCAAAATGTTGTTCCCCGTGTACCATGATGGGGGTTGGAGGTGTGGGAAGGGGGGATTTGAGGTTTGAAGTGATCTCTGGTTTGATCAAGCTACAGTGAAATACTGGATTAATCCGCCTAAGTGTTTTTGGAAGTTGAAGCTCTACCGTCACGGGGTTAATAATTCTGGAAATGGGGAAAGGGCCAATGAATTTTGGCCCTAATTTCTTAGAGGGTTGTAATGATTTTAAGAATTTTGTGGAGAAGTATACACGGTCCCCAATCTTGAAAGGTTTAGGTTCACAACGTTTTTTGTCTGCATGAGTTTTGTAAACTGCTTTAGCTTCCTGTAAAGATAATCTTACCACTGGCCACATGGCTTGTAAGTTATCCATCCACTCCTTAAGGGAGGGGATTTCAGGATCTTTAGTGGGTAGTTCCGGCATGGGGTTGAATTCTTGGCCCGTGGCTACCTGGAATGGGGTGACTGAGTTATTGTATGCTACCTCTGCAAATGGAAGGTCAGTCCAATTATCCTGTTGGTGACTAATAAAACATCTTAAATATTGTTCTAATACGCTGTTCACTCTCTCCGTCGATCCGTCCATTTGGGGTGATTTCCTGACGACAACCCCTGGGTGGAGCCTAATAGGTTTAAAAATGCCCACCAAAATTTGGATGTGAACTGAACACCCCTATCTGAGATAATCCATTGGGGAGCCCCATGAAGGCAATAGATGTGTATTAGAAACATCTTTGCCAATGCCTTGGCAGTTGGGATCTTTTGGCATGGGATAGTGAACCTGTTTCGAAAAAAGATCAGTTACAACCCAAATGACAGTATTTCCAGCACTTTCGGGAAGCTCCACTATAAAGTCTATAGAGATCTCTTTCCAGGGAGCAGAAGGGTCTGCTACTGTTTGTAAAAGTCCAGGATATTTTCCTTGTCTTCTCTTTGCAGCAGCACAGGTGGGGCAGCTCGCAACATAGCTTTCAATGTCCTTTTTGAGGGACGGCCACCAAAATTGTCTTTTGATGAGGTGCAGAGTTTTTACAAACCCAAAGTGTCCTGCTATTTTGGAGTCATGGCAGCGTTTCATGAGGTCCATTCTCTGGCTTGCAGGGACATAAAGTTTGTTCTCTACCCAAGCCAGTCCATCTTTGAGTAAACAAGTGTTTTTGTTAGCCTGGAGCCAGTCGTCCTTAAGTAGTGCCTCCTTAAATATTGACGTCGTTGTGTCTTCAGTCAGGGATGATTTTTTTCTCTCTTGTGCCCGGGTGATTACTTTGGCTGCTAGTTGGGTCGGTTGGATCATCGGTTTTATAACCTCAATCTTTTTACTGTTGTATTGGGGTTTTCTGGACAGCACATCTGCTAAGAAGTTCTTTCTCCCAGGAAAATATTTGAGAGTGAAATTAAAACGTTTCAAGTATTGAGCCCACCTTGCTTGTTTTTTGGAGAGTTTCCATGGATTTTTCAGGGCTTCCAGATTTTTGTGATCAGTCCATACTTCAAAGGGGATTTGGTTTCCTTCCAGGAAATGTCTCCATGTGAGCATTGCCCACCGCACTGCATATGCCTCTTTCTCCCATATGGCCCATCTTTGCTCGGTTTCCATCAGTTTCTTGGATGTATAAGCGCATGGTTGTAATTGTCCACTTCCATTCTTTTGGAGGACTGCTCCAACTGCAACATCACTAGCGTCTGCTTGGATGACAAAAGGTTGTTCAGGATCTGGATGCTTAAGGACCGGTTCTGCTGAGAATAGACGTTTGAGTTTCTCGAATGCCACTTGGCATTCCATTGTCCCAGATAAGGGGTTGTCTTGGTTTGGGTTTCTCCCCCTCTTTTGTTTTTAGCAAGTTCGTGATAGGGAGGGCGATTTTGCAAAAGCTGGAATGAACTGGCGATAAAAGTTCGCAAACCCCAGGAAACTTTGCAGTTGTTTGCGGGTGTGCGGTGGGTCCCAGTCCAATACAGCTTTTACTTTATGTGGGTCCATCTCTATTCCCTTGTGGGATATTCTATATCCCAAATAGTCAATTTTTTCTTGGTGGAATTCGCATTTAGAGACTTTTGCATATAGTTTAGCATCTAAGAGTTTTGTGAGGACTGCACGGAGTAGCTTGATGTGTTCTTCCATCATTTCCGTGTAGATTAAAATATCATCAAGATACACTAGAACCCCTTTATATAAAAATTCATGAAGGGTTTCATTGATCAATTGCATAAACACGGGAGGCGCTCCTTGCAGTCCAAAGGGGAGCACTTTAAATTGGTAGCATCCCAATGGTGTGTTAAAAGCTGTCTTCCACTCATCCCCTTCCTTTATTCTGATGTGGTAATATGCCTCTCGTAGGTCTAACTTTGAAAAATTTTTCCTTTCGAGAGGTGGGCTAACATGTCCTTCATGAGGGGGAGTGGATACATATTCTCTATGTAAATTGTGTTCAAATTTTTGTAATTAACGCACAAGCGTGCTGAGCCATCTTTCTTTTCATGGAATAACACTGGGGCAGCTATTTTAGGACGGGCGGGTTCAATGAAAACCCTTTTTAAATTTTTATCGATAAATGCTCTGAGTTCTTTCAGTTCTCTGGGGGACATGCAGTACATTTGTGGTTTTGGGAATTTAGCCCCTGGTAGGATTTCGATGGCGCAGTCTGTGGCGCGATGGGGTGGGAGTTCATCTTAAGCTTCCTCACTAAATGTTTGGGCCAAATCCTGGTACTTATTTGGGATGTTAATGGTTTCAACCGACTGTCCGGTCATGGCTGACTCTCTGTTCTCTGTTCCTTTCTTTATCCTTTCCTCTGAGCTATTTGCAAATACTACATCTCTCTGGAATTGTACAGTTCCTGTCCTCCAATTTATTTTTGGATTCCATTTCTGCAGCCATGTGAGACCTAGGACTAGCGTCTCTTCCATTCCTGGGGCTACAATAAATGTGAGCATTTCTCTATGGTTCCCTAGTCTTATTTTTAATGGTTCTGTGGTAAACCTGGCTGGCTCCCCCCCCCCCCCCCCCCCGCTCCATCTAATTGGTAGAAAGCGATGGGGTTTTCCATTTCTTTCAGTTGGATCCCCAATTTCTCTGCAAGGGAGGGATTTATTAGGCATCGGGTGCATCCCGAATCCAGCAACCCTGCAACTTCCACCCCCTTCCCTCGGCAGTCTCAGGGGTAGGGTGATTGGTTCAACTGGATTGCTTATCAGCGGGTCATCTTCTGGATCGCTTTCAGACTGTCTCAGGTCCCCTGGAAGCATTGGGGGTTCTTCCTCTGAGTTGGTGGGGGATCGGAGTCCCACATCTATTCAGCCTCTCAGGACAGTCTCCTTTCCTTGAGGGCTGGATGTTCCGGGTTTCCCCCGATGGGTGGTCTAGCTTTCTGGCAGGGGTCTTTGAATGGCATTCTGCTGCACGGTGTCCCTCCTTTACACACTTAAAGCAACCAGACGTTCTTGGAGTCATGGTGGGTTGGGGTTTGAAGACTTCCCGTTTCCCCAGGGGTGGGGATCTTTTCTGCGGTACAGGTTTCGAGTCATGTCTATCTCTGCCTCCTCTGCCATCGTGTACCATTAGTGCAATAGGTTCGGAGCCCCACGGGCCAGGCAGGTAACCTATAGGCCATCATTTAGTCCATCTTTGAACCAACAGACTAGGATATCTTCTGGCCAGTCCACCCGGCCGACCAGGTCACGAAATTCCTCGGTGTACTGGGCGACGGCCTTGTTTTATGACTCTAATGTGGTTGTGGGCTTTTCTATCGGCGAGGGGGTCCTCGAAGCGGTGGCATAAGGCCGTCATGAAGTGATCGAGGTTCCTTAATTCTGGGGTATTGACGTTGTGGAGCGTCACCATCCATCTGGCTGCTGCCCCTTCAAGGGCCAGGGTGATGATTCGTACTCGGGACCCCTGGGTTGGGAAATCCCGCCCATATTCTTGCATGTAGGTGAGCACTTGCGCCAGGAAAAATCCCAGTTTCTGGGGGCCTCCATCAAATTTTACCCCCAAGGGTGAGATCTTCCTCTGCAGTTGGATGTCTCTTGGTTGGCCAGGGTTAATCCCCTGATCCAGGTCGGGTACCTGGTATGGCTGCTGGTTCTTCGGCTTGTCCCTCTGCCAGCTCAATTTCCGCTGGATCAGGGGTGGTGGCTCGGGTTCTCTCATTTTCTGGTTCCCTCGCTCTCCTGCGATGTCGCCCTGGTGCATCCCTCACCTCGAGGTTCTCCAGGGCTTCCCTCACAAGGCGTTTTATGTACCATCTCATTCAGTCATCAGCCGGTGGCTCCTCGTCCCATTCTTCCTGATTCGATAGGGCCTCCAGCTCCAATTTCCACCCAGGTTTACGATTGCCCCGGGTGAAGGCTACTCCTCTGGTTCTTCCGTCCCAGCTGTCTCTTTTTCCTACACCTATAGACCACCGGGGCTTGGTGGAGGTTTTGTAGGCAGCCTCTCTGTCTTCGATGGGGTGCACCAAGTCAGTATCTGGGTGGGTACCTGTTCGACGTTTCTCCCCAGCATTCGGCTTCCCCTTGGTCCTTGCTGTCCTCAGACATTTTCCTTTCTTGCAGGGTCCCCTTGGTAGAGTGAAAGGGTTTTTTTTTTAAAAAAAAAATTCCTCTCCGGGCTGACCTCTATTGCAGATGCTGCTTTATGTCAGGATACAGAACTTTTCCCATTCACTCAACTAGAATAAACTTCTGAAAACGTATCCAAACGTATCACAAAGGAATTCTTTATTGAGATGAGACAATTCCTGTAGGAGAGTTCAAAGCAGCATCTGAGGTCTCTCAGGCATACAGGGATACATAAGGGAGTTTAGAACCCCTCCCCTTATCTCGATGTGTATTTAGTGAAACAAAAGCCAGTATGTCAATTCCTCCCAACCCCTCTTGTAAGGAACGATCTTTTCAGTTTCCCAGGGCATACCTAATTTCCCACCCCACCCCTTTTTTAGAACGAACTATTCAAGAGATTCCCAAAATCTCACTGTTGAATTTTTATGACCTTCTCATCTCCTGGTTGTGCCTCTCAGAGATGATAGTTCTGGACATCTGGCTTTTCTCGAAGATGGTCTATTATTAGATTCTACAACCTGAGGTTTTGTAATTCTCTTTGCAACCTAGAATCTCAAAGAATTAATGTTGAGAATCCTTGGTTTGTTTAAAAATAGTATAACATAAATCCCACTTCAGAGATGATGCTATTTTCTTTTTGGAAAATTCATGGACATTGTAGCGCTTCTAAGGTGGAGACCAAGGTGGAACTATCAGGCAGCATACACTAGCATAACTGTGAACAAATATTACCAGCACTTCAGCTTTGAAGCAAATCCAGCAACCCTCTACTCTAAAAATCCTGCTTTATCTGGGTGGGTAAGTATTATTTACACTATTATCATTTTATGGATTGTACTTTTATCGATTCCTGATCAAAGTTCTCTTTCTGAATATATTTTTCCACCTGGACTGTTATTTTTGTATTGAAATTTTTATGTTAAGTGGAATACATAACAATATAACTATTATGTATTCTCTGCCTTACCTGAAGCATCGTGACAGGTATTTTTTTACCCTGCTTAGTCCATAATGGCATCATTCCCAACTTTACTGCAATAATACCGACTCTTTTAGAACCTGTGAATAAAGGAATGAAACAATCGTTCTTAAATTTCAAGGCTACTGGAGTTCAGAAAGTCATGACAGATTAATTCTTAATTCACAGCATGTACAAATCCTACAAACAGCATCTTGCAACACAATCAATTTATTCAGATGGCAACTACTACTATTTAATAGATAACATTTAAATTACACTGGACGTATTATGAAAATAAGTAATGTCAGCTATTTTAATGTCTAATATTTTTAAACATGAAGGGGCAATAGGTACCCTGTGATGTTTCTGTGTTATAACTGCATTGCCACCCTTCATTATACATTTAACAAAACTATGTCCCTCCCATTGTAGTGTGAACATCTAGGCAGTGCATTAATCCTATGGATATAACTGGCATTTGCACCTCACTATGGAATAAAGGTCAGGTTACTTGAGGGACTACTATACTTGTCCAGCTTATTTCGTCCTGCAGGGTTGGCACAAACCAGGTTTCTTCAAATAAGCAATATCATCTGTCAGGATCTTGGAAGTCCATCTTCTTGGTAGCAGCATCTGCCATCTGCAATGAGAACCAGATGGCCCCCAATCTGCTATTGTTTAGAAGAGGTATGAAGGTGTGGCTCTTTGTCCAATCTTTGGCGAGGAAGAGTAATACTACTTGCTTCTTTTCATCTAGTCTGTTGCACTTCACTAACTTTTATCTTTAATGTTTTACTGATTTTTTTTGTAATTTCTTTATTTGATTCTCAAAGTCATTGAGAATCAGGCAACAAATTAGTTTATTATCATGGAGAAGGCGGAGCCACATCGCCGCGTTACAGCTGTAATTTCGGGGCTCCGAAGTTACAGCTGATATCTTCGCCCCTGGTCGGTCCAATGGACCTAAACCGTCCCGTAGAGACGGTGATAGTAAGGGGCGCGTTCTGTTGATCACAGGGACACCGCAAGTCCCTGGTGGATCCAGAAGAAGCCCCTTTGCCATTGGCGGAGAGGCAGCCATTAAGCTGCTGAAGCAGGGACAGCTCCGGAAGGAAGAGAAGAAAGAAAGAGAAAGTGTATCGGCTGGTGAGATTTTTTTTTTTATTTATTTGGGATAAGGACACCCTAGAAGAAGAAACCTGTAAGATTTTTGACAAAACTTGATAAGATGGACTTAGTGGCGATTTTTTAGGAGATGTCAAAATGAGGCTTGGCTTTTTACTTTTTTTTTTTTTTCTAGTGAACTTCTATTGTGATTAGTAATTGTAACCAGACTGGTTTTTCCTTTTATAATTACCTATTTTCTTTTTCCTTTTTGACTGTTTATATTTTTAATAGAGGCTCCCTTTAGTAATTTTTTCTTTTTTTAAATATGTACATATATATACACATATTTTCTTTTTCTATTGGGCTTTTTTTTTTCGGGAAGAAGGGGGAGTGGAGTAGAGAAACTTTGTAACTCTGTAACACTGCCAACTAGAGGCTTGAAAATACTTTGCTTGAAGTTGAGAGAACTGTGAGAAACTCTTTCCCAAGGACACTGAGTTGATAAGATAGAGGGAGGAACTCTGGAGAATGTTTTCACAGGTGTCTCTTTGGGATTTCTACAATCAACTGAATATTTGAAGCTTGGCTTTGAAACTTGTGGAGAAGCCATAATAAGAGCCTTGGACGTTTAAATAAAATGCAGTGTGCTCCTTGCTTTACTTGTTGTTAGCTTTTATCCCTCCTCCTCAACCCTATAGCATTTCGTAATATTTGTACACTTTTGCTTATTACTATTATTATTATTTTTCATTTATTTTTTTTTCTAAAGGGAAAGCCTCAGAATATTTTTTCCTTTTCTTTTTCCTTTTTTTTTGGGGGGGGGGGACTTTTGCTTTTTTCACCTTTATATGTATATATTCTTTTTTTATGGCTATGTTTTATTTTCTTTAGATCTCGCAATTGGATTAAGGTGTGAAGAACCTGAAGAATTTTTCTTTTTTTTCCCTTTTATTATTATTATTATTTTTTAATATTATTGGGTTTTATTCTCCTTCTGAGTATCGGAACTGAGGATTAAGGTCTAGAAGAACCTGAAGAAATCTTTCTTTTTTCCTTGAAACCTTTTTCTTTTTTTAAATTTTGGGCTTTTTATTTTTTACTGGTTTTTCTTTTTCACGTTTTTCCTTTCCCTAATTGGATTACAATTGCCACTCTGCCAACTGGATTAAAAGAGTGGGAAGATTCTGAGTTATTTAAATGAATAAGAAAATTCTACCTTCTGGTACCTCAACTTCTGCTCCTGCCTCCCCATCAACTGGAGGACGACTTTCAACAATGGCGAAGCAAGATAAAGGACAAATGGATCTAACGACAGTTATACAAGGAATTCAAGAACTTAAAATGAGTATTGAACAAAGGACGGGGAGTATTGAACAAAAAATTGAAAACATCCAACAAATGATGGTGAAATATGATGAGAGACTGCAAAAAATGGAAGAGAAAGACAATCAAAGAGATGAGAAACTGCAAAAAATGGAAGAGAAAGACAATCAAAGAGATGAGAAAATTGGAAATATTGATGACAGAGTGACAACGCTTGAACAAAACAAGAATGAGATGTTGAAGTGGGAGATGGACAGATCAGAATATTATCTCAGATTTCAAAATACAGAGGAAGAAAAAGGACAAGATCTTGCTGCAGTAATGATAGAAATCTTGGCTGAAGCTCTGGAAATAACAGAGGAAAAGATGATGGATGGAATAGATGAGATATACCGAGTTTTTACAAGATATGCGTCGAGGAATAAGCTACCAAGAGAAGTTCATGTCAGATTTACCAAAAAATCTATTAAAACACAGATATTACAAGCGGCAAGAGAGAAGGCATTGAAATATAGAGATAAAGAGATTGTGGTTTTAAAACAAGTACCCAGAAAAGTTAGAGAGATGAAAAGAGAATATCGATTCCTGACTAAAATATTATTGGAAAAGGAGGTGAATTACAGATGGTTGATTCCAGAAGGATTAATGGTTATATGGAAAGAACAGAGATATAGAATTGGCTCAATTGACGAAGCAGAATCGTTTTATAGTGAATTCTCTAAAAGAAGAGAAATAGAGATAGAAAAAGAGATTACTCTAACTGAATTTCAAGAGGACCAAATAGAGATGGGAAAAGAAGAAGGTGCAGTAGGTGGACAAGTGGAGACTAAAGAACAACGTGAAGTAAGATCAACGAGAGCTGTTAGACCTAAATATAAATCATAACTATGGAGGAAAAAAAATTGATTTCTTTGAATATAAATGGACTGAATTCAGCTACTAAAAGAAGGAAAACCTTTCATAAAATAGAGAAATTAAAATTTGACATAATTTGCTTACAAGAAGTACACATTAAAAAACATCAACAATTATTGGTGCGACCAAAAATAGGGAAAAATTTTACTTCTCTGACCCACTGTAAGAAAAGAGGAGTGGTTTTGTACATTAAAGAAACCATTCCAGCAAAACTGATTTATACTGATGAAGACGGAAGAGTATTAATGGTTGAAATAGTGGATAACAATACAAAAATACTCCTGGTTGCAATCTATGCTCCGAATGATAAACAAAAAAGATTTTATAAAAAATTACATATGAAAATAATTGAATTGGACTATGCTAATATATTTATAATGGGAGATTTTAATGGAATTGTAGACAATGAATTGGACTATACAGCAAAAATAACACGACAAAATAGGAAGACCCTCCCTAAATCCTTTTTTGAAATGATAGAGGAACTAAATTTAAAAGATACATGGAGGGAAAGAAATACTAAAACTCAACAATATACTTTCTATTCGAATAGACATTCATCATGGTCCAGAATAGATATGATTTGGACGTCAACAGAATTATTATCTAATATTCAAGAAATAAATATTGAAACAAGTACATGGGCAGACCATAACCCAATGACAATTAAATGGAAAGGACAAAAAAGAAGATCTAGATGGACATTAAATAATACTATTTTAAAGGAAAAAGACTTTATACAATGGATGGAAAAAGAACTGGCCTTCTTCTTTAATGAAAACACAAAAGAAGATACTTCAATACAGAATGTTTGGGACACAATGAAGGCATATGCAAGAGGATTGATAATGGATTATACAAAGAAAAAGAATATTAGGAAGAGGCAAATGATTAAAACTTTAGAAGATGATTATAAAAAATTGGAAAAAGAATTACAGAGAACGCCACAGAAAAAAGATATTAAATTTAAAATGGACATAATCAAACATAAAATGGATCAAAGAGAGAAAGAAGAATTGGTGCAAAAAATCAGAAGCGCTAAACAGAACTACTTTGAGGATGCAAACAGGCCAGGTAGATGGTTAGCATACAAACTGAGAAAAGAGAAAGAATCAAGGAGAATACTACAGTTAATGGACGAACAAGGTCAAGTTTGTCATGGTAATAAGGAGAAAAAGAGAATTATTCGAGACTTTTATGCACAATTATATAAGCAGGAGGATTTTGATGAGGGGAAAATCAAACAGTATTTACAAAATGCCAACCTACCTAAGATACCTGATGAAACTGGGAAAATGTTAGAAAATCCTATAACAATGATGGAATTAACTGAAGCACTTAATAGGCAGAATAACGGGAAAGCACCAGGACCAGATGGTTTCCCGGCAGAATTTTATAAAACATTACAAGAATCGTTGAGTATTTCATTGTTAGAAATTATGAATGAAGCTATGATAAATAAGAAAATACCTAAAACATGGTCAGAAGCTTATATTACGCTTATCCCAAAAGAAGGGGCTGACCCATCACAAATTAAGAACTATAGACCTATTTCTTTATTAAATGCAGATTATAAAATATTTGCTTCAATTTTGGCAGAAAGGCTTAAAAAATACCTAAATAATTTTATCCATCCTGATCAGAATGGATTTCTACCAAAGAGACAAATTAAAGACAACATGAGAGTAATTTTGGACACTTTGGAATACTATGAGGCACACCCTGAAAAACAAATGGCTTTGATATTTTTAGATGCCCAAAAGGCATTTGATAACGTGAATTGGAGATTTATGTTATTATTATTGGAACAGATGGGCTTTGCTAGAAAATTTATTCAAGCAATAGAAGCCATATATTACAAGCAAACAGCAAAAGTGATGATAGACGGAGAATTTACAGACCCTATCAATATTAAAAAAGGCACAAGACAAGGATGTCCATTATCCCCTTTGTTATTTGTATTGACTTTGGAAGTGTTAAATAGAAATATTAGAGAGGATACAAATATAAAAGGAATGAAAGTTAAAAAGGAGGAATTTAAATTGTAAGCCTTTGCGGACGACTTGGTCTTTATTCTGGAAGACCCTCTAGAGACAGCTTTAAAATTACTGGAAAAGATAGAGACGTATGGTGAGATGGCTGGCTTGAAAATAAATAAAGACAAAACAAAGATTCTGACAAAAAATATGTTATTAAGGCAAAGAGAAGAGTTGGCAGACCTATTGAAAATTCAAGTTACGAATAAAGTTAAATACTTGGGGATATTTTTGACGTCAAGATGTACTACACTGAAAGAGAATAATTATATCAAATTTAAACAGCAGATAGCATCTGACTTGAAAAAATGGGAAAACCTACAATTATCTCTGATAGGTAGAATTTCAACAATTAAAATGAATATTTTACCCAGAATTTTATATTTGTTTCAAACAATACCAATTAAATTAGGTAAGGATTATTTTGAAGAATTAAATAAAATTGTGTTGAAGTATATATGGCAAAGTAAGAAAGCGAGAATAAAACTAAAACTTTTACAGGATGCTAGAACTAGAGGAGGATTTGGCCTTCCTAATTGGGAGTTGTATTATCAAGCTGCAAACTTAATGTGGGCTAAAGAATGGATAACGTTAAGAAAGTCTAGATTACTGGCATTGGAAGGACATGACTTATTATTGGGTTGGCATGCTTTTTTATGGTATAAGGGAACTAAATCGCAGGGTTATTTCAGAAGGCACTATATACGGGAATCGTTATAGTTGAATTGGGAGAAAATTAAGAAACAATGTTATTTGAAAATACCAGTTTGGTTATCAACTATCGAAGCTTTTTCCTATCCCATAATTTATAAGAAGGAACAAACAGTTAGATATGGGGAAATACTGGATGAAAAGGGTGAACTTAAAACGATGCAAAAGTTAGAAGAACAAGATATAAAGATGAATTGGTTTTCATATTGGCAAATACACTCAAGGTATCTTAAAGATTCTAAAACAGAAGGATTTTATGATAAATTGACTGATTTAGATAGGATTTTGACAGGTTCTGATGAAAAAGTGATTAAAAAACTATATAGTTATTTGTTGGAAATTAAATTAGAGGAAGAACAAGTTAAAGAAACAATGATTGTTTGGGGGAAGAACTTTGGATATGGGATTGATTTAGAGAAATGGCAAAAATTGTGGTCTCAAAATTATAAAATGACACTGTCAACAGCATATAAAGAAAATTTGTATAAGATGTTTTACAGGTGGCATTTTCCCCCGACAAGAATAGCAAGAATGTTCAAGAACAAATCTGAAAAGTGCTGGAAATGTCATCAGATCCCTGGCTCATATTACCATATGTGGTGGACTTGTGAGGAGGCCAGGAAATACTGGACTAGAATTCGCATATGGTTGAAGAAATGACAAAAGAACATATAGATTTGAAACCAGAGATTTTTCTATTGGGAATCTTATCTGATACATTTAATAAAAACTTAAAAGTATTTGATTGTAAATGTGTTAACAGCGGCTAGGATTGTATTTGCTAAAAGTCGGAAGAGTGAGAAAATACCATTAGAGGAAGAAATTATTAAGAAAATACTGGAATGTGCTGAAATGAGTAGATTGACATTTGAAATTAGAGAACAAGAAGATAAACAATTTTATGAAGTTTGGGATCTTTTTTATCAATGGTTAGATAATACAATATAATAATAGAATATTTAGAAACCTAGGAAATAACGAATATACATTTTTTTTTGGTTTTGATAACATTTTTAGAATATTTTATTAAGATAGATTTGGTATGATTTTACGATTTGTTATAAAATAAATTAACTAAATTATAGTTATCTCGCTTAAGTATGAATTAGTAAAATTATAGTCAAATGATTGTTTAATAATATTAGGATATATAATTGTTGATTGATAATATGAATTATGTAACATAATTATTATGATGACTATGAAATGGATGCACAAAAAGGAGTGGCAAACCAACCGATACACTGTCTGTAAATTTATGAAGAATGATGATGTTTTTATGTTATGTTTTATGTTTTATGTGTTTTTATTTGTTGTTAAAATCAATAAAACTTTTATCAAAAAAAATAATTAGTTTATTATCATGGAGATATCCATAAGAATTCCCCAGAGTTGGGCATTAGGAACTTGTTGAAGTAACTTTTATTTTACTTGCCAATAATTGGCATAGACTTTCACCAATTACTGTAAAATATATAAACTTATTAAAGTGGAAGTAAAAGAACAGAATCATAAGATCCAATTCTAGTAGATCCAATTCATTCATTTGAAATATGTTTTAATTAAGGAATTAGATATATATCCAATCAAATACATCCAGAATAACCCTTTATTTTACCCCTTTAATTTATTGTATACCAACCTGGCTCCCATGGGTGCAGAGGCCAAGGTTCATCTTTTAGAGGACAAAGTTTACTAGCAGTTTGAGCTTTATATTCTTCTGTTGAAAGTTTCTTAAGGAACTCAACATTTTCTTCTGAAAGATGCTCATCCCACCATGTACTATTATAAATAATATGCCGAACTGTGACCAACCACATACCCCTACCAAAGAGAAAAAAGGTTAGTTCAGAAAAATTCATGTTTGCATTTTCAAACTTCCAGTGCAATAATCTTGACTTGTTACTTTTATGCCCAACTTACCAATAATAAAGGGTCAAGAAATAATGATCATAATACATGGCTAAGAAACTTTTGCAGTTTGTATCATAAAAGAAAAATATATAACTGGGGAGGGTTAGGTTCTTAGAGCAATTATTATCAGCTCACGTTGAAATGCACAATTTTTTTAGATGAAAGGCAGCACCTAAATTTTGACTGAAACACGAGGGCAGTGGGTTGTTTTTTTCAGAAGCATCTTGCCATTGGCTCTTTCCTAGAAGGAAAAGAAAGTCACTAGCTCAAGGTTATCCACTGACTTCATCCATAGAACACATGGTCTCCTGATTTCTAGCCACTACACCAAACTGGCATATCCTGGAGGTTATGGAGCAATTTGTAATTATTAATTTGTGACTTGAGGATCCAATCTGGGTAATATTATTAAAACTGGGGAAAAGAGTAATTGGATTTGACACTTTAAGAGCTATTGTGATAGGAGCTGCACTTAAGAATTAGAAAAAAAGGATTAGAAAAAATAAATGGACAGAGGAACATCAAATGTAGATCTGATTCTACGTAAACTAATTTTAATTATAACA